TAATATTTCCATTTGAAAGGTGTGCAATATCGAAAAAGGCGATTTGCCAGGTGAACCTTTAGTATGTTCCCTACATTTTTCCAGACAAGATTTAAAAAATAATGAGAAGAATGTTCGCGTCAATAGAAATGCTATTCCAATGTCCCCAAGGTAATTATTATTTTGTGTTTTTTAAACAAATTATAAAAGGTCTAACGGAAGGAACTAAGGTCCATAATTAATCCTTAAAATTAAAAAAGATATATACGATTTAGCCCAGACGAATATTAAACTGGGTCTTTATTAAATCTAAGTCGATCTATCTATGTCTATCTGTTGAAAGCACGATATAGTCCGAACAGAAAGAGCTAGGGTAAATATTCGCTATTGCGTAAATATTCTCTATTGATAAGATATGTTTTGTATTATAAATGAAAATATCGGTTGATGCCTTTACGTAGACTCCATTACGAAAGGCCCCCGGAATATGTTTATACCGTCATAACCGTTTTAAAAATACCTTCCGAAATGCTCTTTATTTTATGGCATACGGTTTTATGGGTATATAAGACTTGGCATAACAGAATATAACATTTATAATTGTGTTATGTATTATGCGTTTGTGCTGATGTTTGTAACGCACCTTAAAGTATACCTATCGACTTGTAATCACTTCCTTAGTCGACAAAGACATGTCCGTCGGTCTGTCTTCTGCGAAACCATTTTGTCCGTCTGTCCGGTTGGCCAGCTGTCCATGTAAACTCTGTGCGCAAGGTACAAGCCGCAATATTCAAGATATTTCGAAAAATTTGGACCAAATATGTTTTTCGACACAGGGACGAAGCCTATTGAAAATTGGTAAAATCGTTCCATTATTTCACCATGGCCCCATACAATAAAATAGTCAGTGGTGTGTATCTGCCTAAGGACGAAGCCATCCACCAAATTTTATGTTATTAGAACATGAATTAAGTTCATTGTAAGCAAGTCAACTGCCCTTAATGGCACTCATCTCCAAAAGCGTGACCAATGATTTAAAAGTTCCTCGATATAATTTAGATGACATTTCGTTTGCCACTTCCTTATATTCCGCTGGTCCTCGGGGTTATAAGTATTTACGCAAAAACGATTATCCTTTGCCATCGCCATTCGGGAATTCGAAATTCGGGGTGGTTGGAAACAACCTGTTTTTTACGATTTTAATTGCAAAATGACGAAATCTACAGTTCTTCAAATAATTTCCGAACCTTTCAAGATAGGATTCACGGTAGTTGCAGCGGTCAGCGATCTAGGACCTGAAAATCAGAAGCTATGGAGGTCGATGGGTGTATACTCACAAAAGCCATTTTTTAATCACCCCTCTGATAAAAGTAAACAATTTTTGTGTTTGCTGACGTGCCTCACTTAGTGAAACTTCTGCGAAACCATTTTGTGGATAATGGCTTTAATCTCAATAACACAAATCTAACAAAGCACATCATTGAAGAATTGATGTCAATATGTCATTCTGATCTAAATATTATAAAATCATTATCACCCGAAATGCTAAATGTAAAAGGAGCTGGTATGTATAAACTTAGAAAATCATCAAAATACATTCATTTAAACTTCAATGTTTGGTTAACAGCACGACAAAAAGTGAAACTTGCTACCAAACTGTTTTCCCATACGGTAGCAACAGCATTGAAACGCCGCGTACAATTGGGTTTGTGTAGTAAGGCTAAAAACTTTATTCAGTGTTCAGATCTATTTCAAATCATAAATTATTGGTTTGACATATTTAATGTAAGAACCCCTTCAAAAGACTCTCGTGTACTTAGCAAAGCATATGGTTTAAGTCTCTGTGAGCAAGATAATTGTTTGTGCAAAATGATCGAGGTTATAAAAAATGTATTTCCACGCCGTGTAAACGGAAACCTCCTTCCATTTCAACGAGGAATATTACAAAATAACCATGCTTTGCCTCTTTAACAAAAATATTTGTTAGAAAATTACGGGATGGATTATATATTGACCGCGAAACTAAACCAGGATTGCCATGAAAACTTTTTTAGCGCAATCCGCGCAAAAGGCGGATTGCATGATCATGCATCACCGTTGGAATTTAAAACAGATTTCGGTCGTATATTTTGGGTAAGAAAACTCAGTTATAAAATGTATCATTGACCCTCCACTTATATAAATAATTTTGTTAATTATGCTGGATATATTCAATACAATTTTTTAATTGACTCCTTAAACTATGCTACAAAATAAAACATATGTACATCATGATTTGTTTAGTGTTTTGTGTGTAAAACATTTATGGAAATTGAGAACTACTTATAATTTTAGTTGGGAACATTGACACCTTATTTTTCCTCCATACAAACGGTGAAACCCTAATATACATATGTAGGTTTAGTCTAAATATATAACTACTGATGCTACTTTTCTGAAAATGTTTTTTTTAGCGAAAAATACATTTTGAAAAAATATATTTTTTTGGTAAAAATATACTTCATACTTTTGTAAAAAGATACTCTTTATAAAATTAAAAACGGTTACATGACATCTACTATAGGGTTTTTAATTTTTTAGTAATAAAATTTGCTAATATTGACTGTGATTTCACGTTAAGCCAAAACATATTTGGTGCAATTAATGAAATCCCAATAGACAAAGATGAAGAAAAAGAGGCAAATATTTTAATAGATTTTAAATTATAATATATATAAACAAAATATATTTCTTTGTAGATTGTAGAACTTTAAGATACAGAATGGGGGATATAGACCAGCTGATGGATTAGAAAATTTTGGAGGTTATATAATTTCAAAAATGGAGTTGAAAGAATTCGGGTTTGTCACAGGTGAAAAATTATACTTATGTTAATGTACTTTCGGAGGGGGATTATATAAACCAAATTCATTCTTTATGAACGAAATAGATAAATTGAACTCAACATTCGTTACTTTTAATGGGAATCAGTTAAACACTAAATTAAATTATATGCACACTTTGCTAAATATTAGTAACACTAAATTAGATGTAAAGATTGTAAAAAGATTTTTCTTAGGCAGAAAATTTTTCCGAATTCGGCATTTAAATCGTAATTTAAAACAAATTAAATTTATAAATGTAACCAAAAAAATGAAAAAAGTTATAACATAATAAACAACATCTTTTTTACTTAATTGATTATAATTATTGAGATAAAGTTAAGTAAGTAAAACATAATAAAAATCATTATTTATTCCACTAAAGCTTAATTACATTTTGATTTAAAAAGAACGCATTGCAAATAAGATTCAAATTCAACAACCACTTATTTATATATGTATATCGTTGTACATCATTTATGAATTACACATATGTGTTTGAAAATTTCTCAATGTATTTTAAACTTTTTCTTAATATGGCAACGCTCTTTTGAATATTTACACAAATAGTAGACTTCAAACATCTCCTTTCTTGTCAACAAATTAATATTGAAACAACCTTCTATATTTTTAAATCATGATTAATTCTACTCACAAAAATGTTTATTTTATTAGATACATGTTTACAAATCATTTGAAATACTACACTTTTTGTTTATTTTTACAGGCAAAGTATGTAATCCAATTTTAAAAAACACATATTATGTTTAAACTTAAGGCTGGTACTCTGTTTGAAGTCGTGAAAAATGTTTATCAACTTTTACAATTTCATTTGAAAAAATTTAAATGTATCAGTATTATCTATCTAGTTATTTAATAAAATATTTCGATCTCCAATAACTAAAGACCTGTAAATAAACTTTTATTTAAAATTTTTTGTATGAAGTTTTTAATAGTTTCACGCGAAATTTTGAACAAAATACCTAGCTTTAGACATTTGATGTAATTTTAAATTTACTACATCATAATCGTAAGTTTTACAAGCATTTTTTAGAGTGTACCTCTCACATTATTTTGTGCCAAATTTATAATTTTTCTTGCACTCGAAATAATTTTATATCCGAAAATTAAAAAAGTAGGCGTACGATTTGGTGACTACTTTTTCCAAACTATAACTTTCTATATATACTTACCCCCATTATCTCAATGTCTCGTTACATTTTACATGACAGTTTTCATACAAAAATTATTTTAACCGGCAGAATATCTACCGGTTAAACGATAACCGGAGTTGGTGTTAACGGGGGTTAGACGTACAAACATATTTTTCTTCTCCGGGTAAAAATATACTAAGTATACTTACAGACTCGAAAAATAGTACACTGTCCATTCTAAGTAAAGATAGAAAACACGATGCTACGAAAAGTTTGTTGAAGTCAATTTAAAATTGTCCAAGCAAAAGTATTCTAATTGTACTTACATCATTTTAGAATGGAAAATATTTACGACTATACATATGTACAGTCTAAGTATATATATGATTATAACTTCGGAACGGATCGTCCCATTTAAACAAAATTTTGACAGTATTTAAATTAGAGAGCAAAGGATTCAAAAATTCAAGAACATTAAAAACGTTGTAAGTACTCTTAGAATGTTATAGAATGGAGGCGTCGATGTGATAGTGTAGAAACAAAAAATATTTTCTATTTGATTTTTTTGATAGTCGTACCAATTTTCATTTTATTTAGTTTTGACAGTATGAAATAAAAATCGAACGACTTCTTACATAGTGTGTAGGCAGCTTTAATAATATGAACATATTCCACTATATTTTTTATTGATCCATTAAACGGAATAACGTATACTCCTGACATTTTTGTACCCATTGTCAAAAACATTAATAATTTTCCAAACCAATTCCAACAATCACTGGATTCTATAGCAACCCCAATAAGTGTATTTTTAATACTATATTTTTACATAACTTTGCGTGTAAACATATGAAGAATTAATAGAATAATTGATCTTAAAAAAAGCCAAGAAATTCGCCAACTCATTAGTTTATCGCCACATCTGACGCGGTGCGTTGATTAGCTCTCTGTTATAATTTTTTTTAATTTTAGTTGTTAATAATGTTGTATTGTGTTTTATTTTCAGATATATTGCTTAATTTTAGAACAACTTTTGTTTCTACCAAAGGTGAAGTTGTATCTGATTCTAAGATGATAGCTATTAATTATCTAAAAGGATGGTTTGTGGTGGATTTATTAGCTGCTTTGCCATTTGATCACTTGTATGCTTCGAATTTATATAATGGAGAAGTAAGTATATCAAAAAAATTAAACTTGAATAACCCAGAAAAAACTTTATCATAACTTGTAGCTTTTTTTATAAACAAAAAGGAAATTAGTATTTGTGTGTAAAAACCATTAGTTGATGTATATGCAATAAAATATCCAAGTGGTGCTGTGAGAGCGTCAGCGGACCAACGTACACGAAACCCGTGTATATCATTGTTAGCTAGAAACAAACGCAAAACAAAACAACTGTAATAAACAGGACTAAGATTTCGATGATAATTATACGAATTCGAGTTGCTTGGAAGAAAACATTTATTGCGGCAACAATCTTCCTTCGGGAGAGGGCGATACTTTCAAGTAATACGAATGCAATACACCTAGAAGACAAAAATGAGATATTGCCAGATAATCAGCAGAGTGGAAATAGGAAGAAACCTTAAGATAATAGTTTGGAAGATATGTATATAAGAAATATTAGTCGTTTTCGAGCTATAGTGCATTATTATTTCATTGTAATGATATTTTCCAAATCTTAATATTTTTAACTTCTATACAGATTATGTCGCAATTTTTTATTACTGATAATAGCTACATATACATAATTAATGTATGTTACACCCCTTATCACAGCATCACTCTCTGGCCCATAGTGTAATGTCTGTTTATACGAAATTTCCGATTCAGGAAATAAAGGCCAAAATGAATTTAAAAAAAAGAAAATAGTGAGCATAATCTACAAAGTCAGGAAAATATGTCACTGAATTTAATAATAACTTTGTTATTAAGCAAAGAATAAATAAGAAAAGAGAAAAAGTACCTAAGCCTGCTCTCAGTAGTACTGTCACTTAACTAATGTCAAGGGATAAAAAATACTTTAAAGTGCTATAATCCACGAATTTTCGCGAAAAAGTTTTCAAGTTTTGAAAGAGAATAAAATTTTTACAAATGTGTTGGATTTACACAGATTTTGTCTGTGAGAAGAGCGTAATGTATTTGTTGTAAAAAATGAAAGAGTCTCACTTCTTTACATATATTCATTGTTATTAAGCTTCAAAATTTTGCCTTCTTTTGTTCTTTAAGGAATCACATATACATCTCGTAAAATTAACTCGTTTGTTGCGGCTATTGCGCTTATTACAAAAAATGGACAGATATTCACAATACACAGCAATGATTTTAACGTTGTTGATGCTGTTATTTTCACTAGTGGCACATTGGTTGGCTTGTATCTGGTATGTCGTCGCTGAAAAAGAAAACATGCTAAATGAAAATGGATGGGATATTGGTAAGTTGAATTTTAACATACTTTTTCTAAAGAACTACTCGATAGGATTTTGTGGCTTTTATACCATATCAGTTTTACCTGTTTTTTACCCCTAAATGTACAAATTTCCAAAAATCCGTCCTTAGTGGATCTACATAACCAAAAGCACATATATCATATATAGATTAGAGCGCTGCAAAAAAAAAAAACAAGTTTCGAATTTTGCCCGTCCCCCCTCTGAAATTGTTCTATGGGTTTTAATACTATGTCATACAAAAATTAGGCTGATAACGTTAACAGGTACAGCAACGGCTCTGAAGTTATCAAGTGCATTTATTTACAAGGGGGAAAAATCTATTTTTTCAGTTTTTGCAAAAATTTTGCCATTTAATAATAAACTTTGCACTTTAGTGTAAAGGAATCGTAATGTACACATAATAAGCATTTCGTAAGATATAAAACACAAATATTGGTTGAAAAATTTAAAAGTTATTGCAAATTTCCCAGACCATTAACGTGTCTTACAGCACATGAATTCGATATGTGACAAAAAAATTTAAATTTTTTGGGATATAATATAAAAAAACTATTTTGTTACTTAAAATATATTTATAATTACTCGAATATTAGCTTTTGTCCTTATACGATAACGCAAACTTGTTCTCAGCTATGGTGAAAAATGTTTGATTTTTTCAACGGCCGTTTCAAAGCTCCAATTTCAGTTTTTTTGAAACTTTGTTACACAAATTTTAAAATTTTTAGGAGATCCTATAGGGATTTATGGAGAATAGATAAGGGAATAAAACGATTAAAAATTAGATCAATACTTCTTGCAGTTTAGCTGTACCTGGAATTTGAACACGGCGGATTTCGGGAAAATCGATTTTTTTGTAATATTTTAGAGAATACGTATTAATTCTTTACTGTTTTACATTTTACGCAAAGTATTTTCAGAGTATTATAGTTCAGATAATATAAAATACTAGCTATACCCAGTGTGCTTTGCTACCCTAAAAGCAATATAAATAAAAAACGCTAATAAGGATTTTAATGTAAGCTATGAAAAATGTAAATAATATTGTATTGCATTTAATTCATATAGGAGGAGCCAATCCCCCCATTGAAAGTCCGCCCATTTTTCACTAAATGAATGTCAAAGTTATTTATGTAAAATTTGAAGATTCTAGCTTCTAGAGTAACTTAGATATACAAGCCACTTTTTTCCCCAAAATGTTCAGACGAATATGAAAGTCCTTTAACATGGATGTTAAGGTTCTTCGTGCAAAATTTGAAGCTTTTTCTGTAATAGTTTCCAAGATAAACGAATTTTTGTATTTAATTAATATCAGAGGTGCCACGCCCCTTGCTGCTAGTCCGCCCACTTTGTATCCCAAATAATCATATTGAGACTTATGACGACAAAATTTGTTATATTTTCTGAGATATACTGATTTAATATTTTCTTAATATGGGAGGTGTCACGCCCACTATAGTCATTCCGCCCATTATGTCTTAAAATATTCTTATAGATGTCAAAGTTGTCCAGATATACGACTTCTTTTTTTTTTAGGCGTGACCTCGCCCACTTGAAATTTCAAAATAAAAAGTAGCCTATTGTTCCTTCCAGGCATACAGGAATACACTGTGAAAATTTAAAAAAAATCGGTTTAGCCGTTTAGGCAGCTATAGACTTCATACATACATACAGTGCATCAGGGATGGAAAATGAGATTTTGTTTCAGTATCAAAAAATATTTCAGAGGGTACTTTTTTGGATCTTAGAGTACTAAAATATTTTTTTTTTGCTGAAAGTTTTTAATTTCTTAAATACACCTTCACATATTTAGACATTTTTAAATAATCAACAACAGAAGTAGAAAAGGTATTATATATACCGTAGGGTGATCGATTATTCGACATTTTCCAAAAACCGGTTTTCGAGTAGTTCGAATTGTTAACATTTGAAAAAAACCGGTTGATATTTTTCAAATTCAGAGAAATAATTATAATTATAAATAAAAACATCAAGTTTAATTTGAAAAAAACATTATTTCTTTAATGTAAAAAATTGGGAAGAATCATAATCTGAGTTTAAGTCCCTGTTTAGTAAATTTTCATAGGCATTCCAACACTGCTATAATATTTCAGCGACAAATTAATTATTGTAATTGGAATATAATCTTAAGATTGATAAAATTTTATCCAACAGTTATTCCAATCAATTTTACAAGTAAATTTTCATAATTAGGAAAACCAAAAAAGTTTAACCAAAGGTGCTTTAGAAAAATATACTCTAGTTTCTTGAAATTTAGACAGGCTGTATTATTATTTATTTCAAAATTTAATTGAAGTAATCTTTGAATACAAAGCAAATAAAAGTATTCGAAACCGGCTTTTAAAAAGTTAAAAAACCGGGTTATTCGATATTCGAAAAAATCAACATTTAGAAAAAACCGACACTGGTAAATCAGAAAAAACGGTTTTATGACCGATTGAAAAACAGAATCGATCACCCTAATATACATTTATTGATATAATGAATCTTTGTCCGTCCCTCAATCTTAACTTTTTCGATATAATTTGATGAACTTCAATGTCCATGTTATCATATAGCTACCATAAAAATATTACCCCGATATTGTACTTCGTAAATATGTATATTAAAATCAGTCATGATACAATTTGCTATATTTTAATAAATCCTGTCTTAAAGAAATTCAGGCCACATTTAGCCCTACTCAAGGATGAATTTAGAAATTCAACTTATTTATTTATTTTACGCTAATAATTGAGCTACAAATATTAGTAACTATAGTTTATTGTCAATAAATCTCTTATATAAATTAGAATGGCCTGGTTCTCAACTAAAATTAAAGTTTAATTGATTATAAGATAGCGTTTCTCAAAATTTTTGTCCTGGGGTTAATATTTGGCGAGCTGGATCAAAGGATAAAAAGGTCCTTTTTTGAGGTTTTTATGATTTTTTTTTTCATATTTCTTCCAAAGGAAAGATATAAAATTTTAGTATCATTAGAAAGGTCCTGGGGAGACGCTTTCAATGGCATACCAGATTTGTGTAAATTTTTGTGTAACAGTAAAAGTAATCTAAATTTTTCGTAAAAGTTTCAGGTTTTTTCATTTTAACATATATGATTTTAATATAATTAATTGAAATCAATAAAATCTACGAAACGGTTTTTTTCCGTTTTTCAAAATTCAATCTAGATCAAATTTTATTAAAATTTATCGAAGCCTATTTACGCTACCAAAACATCGCGAAATAATGTAAAAAATAACATAGAAATCGTTATTTACAAAGCAAGCGTAACAAACAAGTAGATATTTAGGATAAATTATGTTACTATGTTAGTTAAACTGAAAAATTTGATTGATAATAGAATGAAACCATAAAGTGTTATATACCATTGTAAAGCTATGCTGATGTACATATTAAGTATGTTAGATAAATATAGCTAACAGAATACCTGGGACAAAATAGAGTTTAAAATATTAAGATAAAATACAAAACATAAAGAATTTCGAAAAACAGAATAAACCATTTCGGTGAAATTTAGTTGAGGTTTATAAATAATTTCAATTAATTACATTATATATTTCTATGTAAAAATATGAAAAACTTAAAATTTTTCAGAAAAATTACGACATTTGTAATCATTTTGGTGTTGTATACGAATTTGTGTATGTCATTGAAATCGTCTCACAAAAATTTTGAGAAATGGTATCTTAGAATGAACTAAATTTTCATTTTCGGTGGGAACATCAGCAATTTCCATTTTGGGGCCTATTAGGGCCCCAAATTTAATAACACATATGTGTTATTAAATTAAAATTCAATGTACATAGGTGTTCATTTGTTAAAAAATCAATAGTCATATCAAATTCTACACATGAGACTATACATAAGACCATCCATGACATGAAACAATAATTTGCTTTAAATTCCAAATAATTTTCACCAAAAAATTTCTCTTATTATCTATGGTTGAATTCTTAATTTCAAAACATATCGTTTTATATTAGATAGAAATTGAGTCCTTCGATCTTCTATCATTTGGAAATAATTAGTTTTAAAGTCAAATATTTTATCAAAATTGAAATTTTTGGTAATTTTCTCATATAATATTAACAATGGAATTTAATTAGATTAATATTCATATAATGTCAATCAAGATAAAAATTCGAAATGAGCTGCATTGGTTATTTGCAAAACATACTTCTAAAAAGTGGCTTTTAAAACTAGATTTCAAAACAGTCTTAGAATTTCAAATTTGAACTTTTAAAGATACTTTGACCCCCATTTTCTCATTGTCTGATTATGTTTTATCAAAACGATAAATTGACATTTTACATACAAAAATTATTTTAACAAGCGGTATATCCACCTGTTAAACGATAACCGGAGGTTGAGATATTGGCCCTGAGAGTATCAAATAAGACTCGGGAGTATCACGGTACTTTTGAACATCAAATAGTATCAAAAAAGTACCATCGTACCAAATTTGCCATCCCTGCAGTGCATACATACGTACATAAATACATACATACATACATACATACATACATACATACATACATACATACATACATACATACATACATACATACATACATACATACATACATACATACATACATACATACATACATACATACATACATACATACATACATACATACATACATACATACATACATACATACATACATACATACATACATACATACATACATGTTTACGTTTATGTCAAACAATAAAGAAATATTTTAAAATAAAATTTAAATAAAAGAAAATTACCAAATAAAAAAACCTTTTCAAGAAATTGTAAATAGTTTCAAGATTTAGCAGATTTCTTCTGTGGAGTGATGGCAAGTCAGGTAATGTTCGTTTTGTTGCTAACTTTAAGCGTTATAGCAACAAAACACAACTATTATTTATTTGTCGGCCAAATTTAATAAAGATGACTGGAATTTTTAGTATAAAGTCCGATATGTAAATAAGA